TTGGTAAGGGGAAATGTGTTTGATATTTGCATGACTGAGACATAAACCTGAAAGCTTTGTAACCTTTCCCACAGTGATTCAATAAATAAATAAAAAAAATAAATAAATTAAAAAAAAAAAAACCAATCTGAAAAATCAATGAAACCAAGAGCTGGTTCTTTGAGAAAATAAGCAAGATCAATAAACCACAAGCAACACTCACAAAGAAAGGGAGAGAGAAAAATCATAATAAACAGAATCAGAAATGAAAAGGGGGACATCACAACAGAAGCTACAGAAATTCAAAGGATCCTCAGAGATTACTTTGAGAATATTCATGGCACAAAACAAGAAAAACTCGGAGAAATAGATACCTGAATTCCTACAGCATCCCAAGGCTGAACCAAGAGGACCAGGAATACCTGAACAGACCTATCACCATCGAGGAAGTTGAATCAGTAATAAAAAGTCGCCCCAAAACAAAGGTTCTGGCCCAGATAGATTCAATAGTGAATTCTTCCAAATCTTTCAAGAGAACTTACTCCAAATTCTTTCCAAGTTTTTCCAGGAAATTGAAGAATCAGAAACAGTTCCAAACAGTTAGTATGAAACAAATATCACCCTGATACCAAAAGCTGACAGAGATATCACAAAGAAAGAGAATCACAGGCCAAAATCACTGATGAATACAGATACAGAGATCCTCAACAAAATCCTAGCAAACAGAAGTCAATGACTCATCAAAAAAATCATACACCATGACCAAGTAGGATTCATCTGGGGATGCAAGGATGGTTTAATATTTGCAAGTCAATCACCATAATCCATAAAGGTAAAGGTAAAGGCCCTCCCGTTGATCGTCGATTTGCTCGAGCAGGCCCAGTAACGTCTCCATTGGAGACTTTGTTGTTACTGTGTCTGGCATATCGAATACTCTCGGTAGCTTGCCGGGCTCTCCGAGAGGGGCGGAGGAGTCGAACTCGGGTCGGCCATGTTGGCCGCTTGTAAGGCGAACGCCCTACCGCTGTGCTATCGCTCCGGCCCATAATATCAATAAAAAAGATAAAAATATCAACAGATGCAGAGAAAGCATTTGACAAGATCCAGCACCCGTTTATGATGAAAACGCTAGCAAAATGGGAATTGAAGGAAATTTCCTCAATATAGTCAAAGCCATCTACCGCAAGCCCACGGCAAGCATTATTCTCAATGGAGAGAAACTAAAGGCCTTCCCTTTAAGAATGGGAACAAAACAACATTGCTCATTCTTGCCACTCCTATTCAATATAGTACTGGAAATTTCTGCCATAGCAGTTAGGCAAGAAAAAGATATCAAGGTCATCCAGATAGAAAAGAAAGAGGTCAAGATATCAGTATTTGCAGATGGCATAACACTAAGAAAATCCTAAAGATTCTACAAAAAAGCTCCTAGAAACAATACATTCGCATAGTAAAGAGGCAGGCTACAAAATCAACACCCAAAAGTCCATTGCTTCTCTATAAACTAATAATGAAATAGAAGAGATATTAAAAAAAAAACAATTCCATTCACAATCTCATTCACAATCCTCAGAAAATCAACTTAACCTCGGAATCAGCTTTAAAAAAGAGTTGAAGGATCTATATAAAGAAGATTACAAAACAAATGTACTAGAAATAAAAGAGGACACTAGGAAATGGAAACATTTCCTGCTCATGGATCAGGAGGATTAACAGTGCCAAAATGGCAATACTCCCCGAAGCATTATACAGATTTAATGTGGTCCCTACAAGAATACCCATGACATCATTCAAAGAAATAGACAAAACACTCCTGAAATTCATATGGAAAAATAAACCCCCATGAATAGCTAAAGCAATCCTTGGGGAAAAGAAGATGGGTGGCATCACCTTCCCCAACTTCAAACTGTACTACAAAGCATTAGTAATAAAAACTGCATGGTATTGGACTAGAAACATACCCGCAGACCAATGGAATAGTGTTGAATATTCTGTCAGACTCTCAAAATATGATGACTTAATCTTTGATAAAGGAGTAAGAAATGTGAAGTGGAACAAAGAAAGCCTCTTCAACAAATGGTGCTGGGAAAACTGGACAACTACATGCAAAAAGATGAACTCTGATAACTGTCTACCACCAGGCACAAAAGTCAAATCAATATCAGACCGGAATCCATAAGATACATGGAGGAAAATGTAGGCAGAACACTCCATGACATTGAAGCTAAAGGTATCTTTAAGGATGAAACACCAATGACCAAGCAACTGGAAACAAACATAAACAAATGGGATTACACTGAACTAAGAAACTTCTGCACCGCAAAAGAAACAGTGACCAAATACAGAGAGAGCCCAAATGGGATAAATTATTTAATCAATATACATCAGATAAGGGGTTAATAGCTATGATATAAAAGACATTAGTAGGATTGTATAAGATAAAAACTTCCAACTCCATTAAAAAATGTGGAGAAGAAATGAACAGAAACTTCCTCAAAAAAGAAATACAAATGGACAAAAAGCACATGAAAAAATGTGAGCATTTTTTAGCATTTTGACATGAAAAAATTATCACTAATTATCAGGGAGATGCAAATTAAAACAACAATGACATATCATCTCACATCAGACTGGTACACACATCAAAAAGAACAAGAACAACCAGTGCTGACACAGTTGTGAGGAGAAAGGAACTCTCTTTCATTGTTGGTATGAATGTTGACTGGTCCAGTCATTCCGGAAAATGAGCATTCCTTAAAAAACTAGAAACTGAGCTTCCATATGACTCAGCAATACCACTTCTGGGAATATATCTGCACATGTATGTTCACTTCAGTACTGTTCACAATTGCTAAAATCTGGAAATAATCCAAGTGCCCGAGAACAGATAAATGGTTTTAACCATTTATTTCTTTAGAAACTTTGGTACATCTACAAATGGAATATAGTATGCAGCTATTAGAAAAGATGAAGTCATGAAATTTCCTTTTAAGTGGATGGACATGGAGAGTATCATGCTAAGTGAAATGAGTCAGAAAGAGAGGGACAGACATAGAACGACTGCAACCATTTGTGGAACATAAAATAACATACTATGAGACTAACACCCAAAGACAGTAGAGATAAGGGCCAGGAAGACTGCTCCATGGCTAGAAGCCTGCCTCATGAGTTGAAGGAGAAGGCAGCGGGGATAGAGAAGAGATCACGAAGTTAATGATGGTGGAAAGGATAGTTCGGGATGGGAAATGTGTGCCAAAAGTACATAAAGGACCAAACGTGATGGCCTCTCAGTATCTGTATTGCAAACCACAATGTCCCCGAGTAGAGAGAGTAAGAAAGAAGATGCCTGCCACAGAGGCAGGAAGCGGGATGCGGTGGAGGGGGCAGGAGGAATACTGGAAACATTGGTGGTGGAAAATGCACACAGGTGGAGGGATGGATGTTTGATCATTGTCTAAGTGAAACTCATACATGAAAGCTTTGTAACTGTATCTCATGATGATTCAATTAAAAAAAAAGAAATAAAACTGAGTTAAAATAAGATTCACAAACCAAAATTAAACTTCTTCATAGTACCTGGCACCCAGTATCAAAAAGTGTTCTGGGGCTGGAGAAAAAGCCCAGTAGGCTAGAATATATGATCTGCATGCAGGAGGGCCAGGTTTGGTCCTCGACAGTGCATAGTCTTCCAAATGCCTCCAGGAATAACCCCCGAAGAACTAAGCCACAAGCAGACCCGAGCAGTGTTGGGTGTACACCCCCTTACATACCCTCAAAAAGAAGCCCCCAAAATTTCTTAATGAATAAAGGAATAAACAATAAATATGAATGGCCACAATCTACTACTTTCTTGGCAAAATCATTTGAAATCTGTAGTTTAAAGACAAAAATTGGTAAAAACCTGATTCATCATTTAATCTGTTTCTTTAATAACATCAATTTTCTTAAAATTCTAATTTGGTGAGAGACCACTGAATTTTTATTTTAACCTCTGCTTTACTGTATCTGGGCTTCTAATCATTATTTTAAGTTATCTCTCAAAATTAGGCTGGAGCAATAGCCTTGCACGCAGCCGACCCAGTTGGCCCGGGTTCAATTCCTCCACCCCTCTCGGAAAGCCCGGCAAGCTACTAAGAGTATCTCACCCTCACAGCAAAGCCTGGCAAGCTACCCGTGACGTATTCAATATGCCAAACACAGTAACAAGTGTCACAATGGAGACATTACTGGGCCAGCTAGAGCAAATCGATGAACAACGGGAGGACAGTGACAGTGACAGTGATCTCTCAAAATTACTTTTCCTTTTGAGAGAATGAGGAAATGCTGATTCAAATGTCCAAAATAAAAGCTGAAATTTACTCTTTAGATTTTTGTCATATACACTATTAGTATCTATATATAATAACCACTTTTGAAGGGATGTAAGCTGAAGTCACTAAGTAATACCTTATAAAACATTTCACAAAAATAATTTCTCACGAATGAATTTTCTGTAACTTAGGGATCTTTAAGTTCATTATATTTTTTTAGTCAGGGGTCTCACACATGCAATGCAACTACCATATGACTGCACCACATACTGGGTCCTCCTTGAGTTTATATTAAATTTAAATATATTACGACAAAATGTTTTTGCAAGGAACAACTTCAGTGTGTTCATTTATAAAAGAACCATTTTTTGACTTTAAAGAGTTATTAAATGTGAAATGCTTAAAATGTCATTGGTATATAGCTAATGCTCAATAAATACTGCTATTTTAACTAAAGGCTACTAAATACCTTCTAAAATGCTGTAAAATATTACTATACTTCTAATAAATAGATGACAAGTATTTATTAGAAATAGATGAAGATTATTTATTAGAAAACTCTGGCCTAAAGTTACCTAAATTATAGACTAAATGTACAAATAGATATGATTTACCTCAATGAAAGCCAACAAAAGTTAAACATGGCTGTGTATAAGAAGTTAAAGAATAAGCATAAAATGTTCAACTTTGATATTACAAAATCTTACTTACGGATTTGTTTAGTCTCCTTTGGTAACTGAATTTTGTTTGTTTGGCTGCTGCCTTCCAGGACAAACACAAAACTTTTAACTTCTTTATCAAACTCCTACAGAACAAAAATAAAATCAGTGATGACAGAAGTATATTTTATTTTACTTCTATTATAAAATCACAGCTGTACAACCACAGAAAGAATGTTCCACATTAAAAATCTATAAGTTCAGAATTTGATGATACTTTTACCTTCATACTTATAAAAAAAAAAACCCTGAAATTTAGAACTCATATAAAGACACTCAAGACACAATTCCAGCAAATAAACTCAGGGATTTCTAAGCTACAAATTTCAAGTTCTAGCATTTAGCCATTCTTTTAATGTGCTTTTCTAATACCTGAGACTGAACATCACTCCCTGTTAAATGAATCATCGGACACAGTGTTTCTCAGAGCCAAATGACCTCCTGTAGGCCTTCAGATATTTAAAGGAGGCATAGGTAAAAATCACACAAATGAGGGGCTATCGCAAGAAACTCAGGACAAATGGTAAGATGGAGGGGGTGTAGAGGAAGAAAACAAAGTCAGAATGGGGGCATGGTGGGGAAAATAGTTTGAGAAACACAGATTTAACCTATGTACGAAAATTCCACGGTTCAGGACATAAATCATATAGGATTAGTCACTGCTTTATTTAACTAGTATTCTAATTAAGTTCTATTTGATTAAAAAGAAAAAAACACTTTAGAAATTAATTTTCCAAATGAGGTTACCTTAATATCTAAGGCAAGGTTAAAATTAAAAAAAACTGTTTTGTTTAAGACCTCTTATTCTGAGTTCATTTTCTATAAATCAAAATGTTAAAATTACTGTTATTTTTTTAAAGATTGGAGCAAATTCTCAATTTCTAAATATAAAGACTCCTTTGCACAGAAAAATATTTCACAGATTCTCCCACTGTTCCTTTTTATATATATTAAGAAATATATTATAGTTAATGACTGCTAAGAATTAAATGTAATTAAATGAACACTTTATCCTTCATAATAGCTTCTGTTACGTATTTGAAATGAACACAGACACTGAATATTTTATTCTATTTATATAAAATCTGGAAATACAACGATACTTTTTTTCAGCAACCGAAATCTTCAACATTGTACTTAAAAACCCTGCTTTACCTAGCCCCTATCTAGTTTTCAAAGCTTACCCCTCCTCTTTTCCTATTCTGAGCCTTCCTTCAATTTCTTGAAAATTCTAATTTTTTCCCCTGAATAAGGACTGTGTACATTATATACTGTGTACCTTTTGTATAAAATGCCTATTTCCTTTTGGTACCTCAGTAGCAATTAGAGATCAAAACACACTTTCTTGAGAAAGGAACAAGTCACTTAGGCTCACCATACTTTAATTTTATCATTTGTTAGATGGGCGACAGGCTGGAGTGATAGCACAGATGGTAGGGCATTTGCCTTGCATGCGGCCAACCCAGGTCTGATTCCTCCGCCCCCTTGGAGAGCCCAGCAAGCTACTGAGAGTATCCCACCCGCACGGCAAAGCCTGGCAAAATCCCCGGGACGTATTCGATATGCCAAAAACAGTAACAAGTCTCACAATGGAGACGTTACTGCTGCCTGCTTGAGCAAAACAATGAACAACAGGAGGACAGTGCTACAGTGCTATTAGATGGGCATAAGGGCTCCTATCTTACAAAATTATTACAATAGCATATGTAACATATTAAAAGTGCCTGATCTTGTGCTTATCCCACAGTAAGTACTCGATAGCATCTTTAAAAAAATGTCCATAAAACAAAGTCCTAGAAAGTATTTTTCTCTTGGTGGTATAGCATAAAAGAGAGCATTTGGGATGAGGATGGATAGAAATTTCTAACTCTGGTGACATCAATCTGAGATAATTTCTGACTAGCACTGGTTTTCTTCTATGAAAAGGAAAATGAAGAATTTTGATGAGTAAGGAGCACCTGTCAGAGTTGAGTTAGGAACTGGGTTAATAATTGATGAGTAAAAGCCTGAAGAAAGAGAAATAATCATGTCAAAGACTAAGGAAAGAAACAATAGAAATTTTTGAGTAGCTCATGTTGAACTTACAGAATTAGCAACTCAATAGGTTATAAATGTTTTCTCCAAATGCACTAAGAATCCCAAATTTAGGTTTAGGAAAGACAGATGACTAGGGATTCAGAAGAGTTTGCTCTTCCTTAGGCAGACATGAGGAATAGGAGCTAGCGTTATTCAAAGTCTTGACCTGGAAGTGATTCCAATTATGGACAGCAGATTCTGGACTCGAGAAAACTGGAAGAGGATAAAAGAGAAAATATAAAAATAAATACTGTAAACATGGAAAAATTAGGAAATAGTTGATGGATTAATGCCTCAATTAGGATGAAGAGCAAATATAGTAACTGGGCAGTTATGCTCAAGAGCTGAAGACTGTGGCCAGAGAAAGATGTATCAATGCCCTGTTTCATAATTTCAGAGTTCTACTGTTTGTTGTGATAAGGCACAGGTTGTGATAAAAATGGTTGCTGAAATGGTATGTAACAATAGCCAGAATCTGGAAACAACCCGATACCCAAGAACAGACAACTGGTTAAAGAAATTTTGGTACATCTAAACAATGGAATACTATGCAGCTATTAGGAAAAATTAAGTTATGAAATTTGCTTATAAGTGGGTGGACATGGAGACTATCATGCTAAGTGAAATGAGTCAGAAAGAAAGGGAAAGACATAGAATGACTGCACTCATTTGTGGAATATAAAATTACATGCTATGAGACTGACACCCAAAGATAGTAGAGACAAGAGTCAGGAAGATTGCTCCATGGTTGGAAGGCTGCCTTATGAGCTGGGTGAGAAGGCAGCTAGGATAGAGAAGAGATCACTAAGTCAATGATGGTTAGAGAGATCATTCAGGATGGGAGATGTGTGCTGAAAGGAGCTAAAAGCCCAAACATTATGGCCTCTTGTAATCTGCATCTCAAATCATAAAGCCGATAAGTAGAGAGAGAGGGTGTAAGAGGGAAATTGTCTGCCATAAGGCACGGGGAGGGGTAGGATGGGAAAGGGGAGAGGGAGGGATACTGGGGACACTGGTGATGGAAAAATGTTACAATGGTAGAGGGATGGGTGTTCGATCATTATATGATTCAAACTCAAACATGAAAGTTTTGTAACTGTAGCTCATGGTGATTCAATAATAATAATTTAAAAATGTACACTGGTGGAGGGATGGGTGTTGGAACACTGTATCACTGAAACATGGAAACTTTTAACTGTACCTCATGGTGATTCAATTAAAAAAATTAATTAATTAGAAAAAAAAAACCCTAGGAAGCAAACAACAAAAAAATAAAATGCTGTGTAAGAGGTTAAAAAAGATGAAGAAATTTCTTAAAAATGAGAAATGCAGTATTGAGAAAGAGTTTTGGACATCAGCTAAACAATAGCAGGCCTAGCCATTCAGAGAACATACGGAGCAGAGGAACAAAAGTCTTTAATAACTGAGAAGTGGGCTGTAACCAACAATATCATATGAAGGTTTCAGAGTGAATGGAGAGGAAAGTCTTGAAATACGATCAAGTCGTTTTGTTATAACCTTTACTCACATTTCTTTCCAGGATTTATGTGTATAGTTTCTAACTTACTTTCCAAATTACAGACGGACTGCCAAGGATCTTCCATTTGGCTCCAGGATTTTTCCCCTGAGCACTAAAGATTTCAACAAATGCACCACCCTAGAAAACAAAAGTTAAATATTTTAAATAAAATGAAAGATAATGCTAAGAAAGAAATTACTATTCTCCACATATCTATAATTGCTGTTCTAGGAATCTGTTAGTTAAGTAGACCTAAGATGAAATATTATCTTTGTTATTATTCCTAGTTTATCTAAGCCACCATTGTTCTGATTTGGGTTACCTTGGATTAGCAGTTTAGGAATTTAGTTTTATTTATTGGTTTATTTTCAGAAGAGGAAGAAGACTAGATTATTGGTTAATAAATGGTTAAATATAAAGGCAGAGGTTTTTTTTTTAAAAAGGAAGTTGCTTTTAAAGCATGATAAACATTAAAGTGCAGTGGTAGGGCGTTTGCCTTGCGCACAGCTGGCCTGGCCAAGCCAGGTTCGATTCCTCCGCTCGTAGAGCCTGGCAAGCTACCGAGAATATCTCACCCTCATGGCAAAGTCTGGCAAGCTACCCGTGATGTATTCAATATGCCAAACACAGTAACAACAATTCTCACGGTGGAGACGTTACTGGGCCCACTCGAGCAAATTGATGAACAATGGGAAGGCCGTGCTACCGTGCTATACACAATTTACAATCTCTTAGTATGAGGTATGACCCAGACTAAAAGTGTTTAAACTTAACTCTCATGCCAAGTTTGAAAATTCTGATAATTACCTCTGACTGCAAGTTTTTTAAGCCATACTAAAATGAACTTATACCAGCTTTGTTATTTGTTAACTAAGTGACCATGGTGTCACTTAACATCTTGATTCTCCACATGGGTTGCTGGATTACAAAGAATAGTAAACATTGATCTCAAGTACAATATCCTTTACCTAGCAAGAGCTTGATAGAGCTAGCAATAATTATTCAAATATTGAACTGACTGAGTAATTCAGTACTGGTCAACATAAACGCTTAGTGGCAACTGTGGGAGGGAGTAAATTTTATTTTTAGCATTCTTATAAGACCTTTATTTAACACTAATTTAGAGAGCTATAAAATCTATGTAAGAAAAAGGAAGATTCATATCTAAATACATTATTGAAAACCCAAGAACATCATGGAGAGACACGCTTATTTTACTTAATGTCAATGAGTTTAAAGACGAGGAATTAATATGAGAATCACTGACAGATTATTGCAAAAGATTGAGAATCAGAAAGTAGAACTGCCTAAGATTTTCCATTATAGTCTGTTTGGATAATACACAGCAAGGCTAATTTTTATAAATGATTTTTAGCTTCATAATTTTTTCTCAGTAACATGAAAGATATTTTTGCACCCATGCTTTCAAAATCACTTGAAGACATTTACTTTCTAATTACATGGGTAGTAAGAAATTCTGTGGATCAGAATTTCTATAGCTTCTAAGGTCAGGCTACCTTTAAGTACTGAAAAATCTGAGGCATCCTTTTCTTTGAGGAAAACTTTTAGATTTAGTAGATAGAAAACTTTTTCCTCCCTTCCCCTTCTAGAACTTTATGTCACAGCGGGCACGTGCGTTTTTAAAAATAACTACACTTTATATTACATGAAACTCTCTGAAATTGCTCTAGCACTTACGGAGCATTAAATGGGAGAAAGGAAAGGAAACTACAGAATACAACGAAGACGATCATTCAATGGTATTATGTATTTGATAGAAATGATAGAAACAACAAAGAGGTGGGGAGACTAGTGTACTGGCACCAGCATGGCGAAAAATGTACTAGCGTGAAAACTCAAATAGAAGTGCAAAGGGGAGAGCAGAGACTAGGGACTGGAAAGGCAAGGAGGGAGATGCCCAGGACAGGAAAGCGGGTCCAGCAGAGAAAAAGTCCGGGCACTAGAGGTATCCCGGGCTAAGAGGCAGAACCCAGCCTCCCTAAGAATTATCTCTGGATTGTTTGAGTTTCTAAATTACAAGCACCTGGCAGGCTACTGAATGACCACACGGCAGAGTCTGGCAAACTCCCCGTGGCATCCCCAATATGCCAAATACCAGTAACAATGAAGGGTCTCATTCTCCTAACTCTGAAAGAGCCTTGAATATGGCACTTTAAAAAAAAAAAAATCTCAGGGCTAAGATGAAGAGACGTTACTGGGGCCTGCTCGAGGCAATCGATGAATAACAGGATGGTTGTGATTGTGTGTGATTTGCATCAGACCCAACTGGGAGCTGTTACAAAGGCAACCCTACATACATCTACAGCAACTCAGATTCAGGAGTTCCGGGGAGCCAGCACCCAAATTCCTCAAGTATCCAGAGTCACCCAAAAGCAGCCTCGTGTTTTTTTACAAAGACACTCAGTTTGGAGTGGGGGGGGGGCAAAAAAAAAAGAAAAAAGAACTCGTGGAGCCTAAACTCGTGTTCCGTTTCCTTTTGGCTTGAACCGATGCAGGCATTCCGTCCTTGGCTCTCTTCTAAACAAACGCTGAGCAGCAAGCAGGCCGTGGTGCATCCAGAGTGAGCAGCAGCCGAGTTCCTAGTGAAATCTCTCACGATTTGCAGGCCTGGCCCTGAGGGAATGAATGGGCTTGGGGACGAGACCCTGTCCGGGCGATCAGCACCACTCACTCAGTCCAGCAGCACCTCGGGCTGCATGCAGGAGCCTTCCTCGCGCTGGAGACGGAGCTTGCAAAGCTCGACCCTGGCGGATGCTTCCTTTTCTTTGGGGGGGGGGGGGGGTTCGGGGCACCACCCCTCCGTTCATTCCTTTCGTAATCCCCCGGAAAAGACCTTCGCCGCTGCGGGTGCGCGTGTGGGGAGACCCGCGTGCCCTCAACCCCCTCAGAGACGAGCTACCTCAGCCCCGAGAGGAGAGAGCGAGAGACAGGTCGGAGAGACATCTCGAGGAGGGTTACCTGGTACTCATTTTTGAACATTCCCGCAGGGGGGGCCTGGGGATGGAGGGACCCCGAGGCTTCCAGGGACTGGCCGACCCTGACGGCTGGGAAAGGAAGGGCTGGAGGCTACGGCCCCAGCTTGGTCGGGCTCTCCTCAGCCCCTCGTCAGCTGCACCGCCAATCCCCGACCCGCACCATCGCGGCCCCCGGAGGATGCGGGCGGCCCCCGGGGAGTGACTGTGTGCGTAACCTACGTGACAGGACGCCCCGACAACCGCCCGCCCGCCCGCCCGCTCGTTCGCTCGCCCGGGAAAGGCAGGCAGGCGCGCTCCGCTTTCCGCCCCGCCCTTTTTGGGGCGGGGCGACGCGGCGTTCCGGCCGCGCCCATTGGCTCTCCCGAGGCGCCTGCGCGTCCCGCCCCCGCTCGGGCTTCTCGCCGGAGGAGCGGCTCGTGCGGCTGGGCCGTGACGTCGGCGTTGCCCGGGCAACCGGGGGACTCTTGGGGATACTCAAGCCTGTAAGCTGAGCTCTCTTCAGGGCTTCACCTGCGGCTGCAGAGTCTGTTTTGTTACCTGGTTTCAGGTCCCTGCTAGGTACTGAAAGTCTTGAAACTTTCCATTTGGAGTACCTTTGGTGTAAGCACGAGAACCAGAAAAGTCCTGGAATCACGGGACCTTCGCGTGCTTTTGGTCCTCAAGATTCCCAAAGTTGGCTGATTCAGGTATTAGGGTCAGTTTGTCCCTTTCGTTATTTGCCAGTGTCCGAGGAAATGGGAACATGGCTCAAGTCAACCATGCACGTTAGAAAACCAAACCAAACCAAACCAGGTTTTATGTTAAAAACAAGTACGTGTATAATTGGACTACTTGGTGCTCTCAAGTTTAACTTTTTGGTACTTCATTTAGTTTCCCGGTCAGAACCGCACTTATAAAGGTGGAAACTGTTGACAGATTTTGGCTAAGGAATTGTGGCTCAGGATAACTCTCCAGAGATCAATGGAGAGTCAAAAGATAATGGAGCTGCTATTGAATTAAGCATTGAATTAAATCAGTGACTTTGGTTTATTAATAACCACCATTCTTCGAACTAGTTTAGAGCCAGTAAACCACTTGATTTAGTGTTGACCTAATGAAGGTCAAGTGGTTCAGTTCATTGATCCAAAACCCTGGTGAGTAAGGATTAGTCACCAGGGTTAGTCACCCTTAAAGGGGAGAATATTAAGATTAAGAGTTGATTCGGAATTTATTCAAGGGATCAATATTGAGATTCCATTGTGGTTGAGTCTACTTCACCTAAAAGTCTCAAATATTTTCATCCTGCCAGTTTGTCAGACCTTATGGACAGTATATGACAGATGAGAAAATAAATGCTACCTAGGCCTGCTTCTTACCCCAGACCAGATAAGGAGTAACAGCAGAATTGTCTCATATCTGTAAGGTTGCAGGTTTACTTTGGATTTGAGTCGATAACTAGTGCTCAAACCTATATCACAATGTTTTTGTAAGACACTATTAAATAGACAGGGCCTCTTTCTCACAGGACTTTCTATGTAAAGAAGGACAAAAAGTCCCCCCTTTATGAATGCCATTCATTTATTTAACAATTAATTCTTAGTAATGCAATATAGCCTATATACTACAAGTACGGTAAGAAATAGATATACAGGGACAAGTTCCATTTTCATGGAGCTTACAGCTTAATGCAGTGAGACAGATAATAAGCAGTGAACAAACAAATAATTACAACTTGTATAATTAATTTCTGTAATTAAATAATTATAACTTGATAAATGTCATGAATTCAGTGATAGGGAATAATTGCATGGTTTAATTATATTAATTTTCTGTGCCTGTAGTAGCAAATTTTCACAAATTGAGTCAATAAGGACAACACAAACATATTCTCTCAATGTCTTGAAAGCCAGAAGTTCAAAATGAAGATATTAGCAGGATGGCACTTTTTTTTCTTTGCTTTTTTTTTTTTTGTGGAGGCGGGGTTAACACCTGGCAATGCTCAGGGATGGTTCATGGCTCTACACTTAGGAATCACTCCTGGCTGTGTTCGGGGGATCATATGGGATGCTGGCACTCAAACCTGGGTTGGCCAGGTGCAAAGCAAACGCCCTCCCTGCTGAACTATTGCTCCAGCCCTAGGATGGCACTTTTTAAAGATGCTTTCTACAAGATGATCTGTTCTTTGCTTCTCCCAGTTTCAGTAGTTGCTGGTGGTCAGTGACCTGTGTTTGCATTTCTGTAATATCTAGCCCTATGGTCACACTCACCATTTTTCTCTATTGTGTCTTCTCTTTTTTGCATTTGGGGCTTTGTTTAGGGATTTTGTTTTTGTTTTTGTTTGGTTTTTGCTCTCTCACTCTCCCCCACTCCCTCCTTTCTCTCTCTCCCTCCCCCCCTCTCAGTTTTGGGTCACACCTTGGCATGCTAGGGGTTTAATTCTGGCTGTATGGGGGACAGTGTGGTGCCAGTAATTGAATCCCTAGGTTTGTGCTTGCAGAACACACATTCCAGACTTTTGAGCTTTCTTTCCAGATCACTGTCTCTTAGAAGGATAGTTGCAATGGCATTTAATATGGTTGCACTAGGAAAATGAATTTTGAATTTTAGAGTCCATACTTTAATCATATCTGTAAAGACCACTTTCAAAATAAGAAAATAATAACAGATTTAAGAAGGGGGTAAATAGTTTTGATAACTTGGGGGGTGGGGAGAAATTTTAGGCCTAATACAAAGGTGACATAATAACGCAAAGAAATTTTGGGCAAATGCAGTAAGAGGCAAAATGTACAACTCAAGTACAGAAGGGATCTGGGGGAATAATCTGTAGGCTTTTAACAGACTCTTCTCTGAAAAGTCTGTTCTGTCACCACAACTGAAGGGAAATTCACACCCTGTTATTTCCTATATAGCACAGCGGTAGGGCGTTCGCCTTACAAGCGGCCAACATGGCCGACCCGAGTTCGATTCCTCCGCCCTTCTCGGAGAGCCCGGCAAGCTACCGAGAGTATTCGATATGCCAGACACAGTAACAACAAAAGTTTCCAATGGAGACGTTACTGGGCCCTCTCGAGCAAATCGACGATCAACGGGAGGGCCTTTACCTTTACCTTTACCTTTACTTAAAGCAATGATTAAGCATAGGGTATTAGTGTAATTATTCAGATGTTTGTTTTTGTTGTCTATTTATTCAAGTTAAGATTATAATAATAGTATCATATGCATCATTTTTCTCATTTCTTGAGAGAAATTGTCAAACTCCCAATTGTGCAAGGATTAGGTCATCTTATTTTACTCATTTTTGTTAGTTTGTTTTGGGGCCATGCTCAGGTGTGACACCTGGCTCTGAACTAGGAATTACTCCTGGCAATGCTCAGGGGAACTATATGAGATGACAGGGATTGAACCCAGATTGGCCACATACAAGCAAACACCAAGGGACTATCACTCCAGCCGACGTTAGCTTATTTTATAACCCTCCTAGTTACTAATAAATTCAGGAAGGACATTTATAGTTGGGTTTTCTTGAATAAGAGAGATTTAGGGACTTTCCAGGGTAGGGACAATTATAAGCTGCCAAACAAATAAAGTTGTTTTAACAAGTGAATGAATCAATAAATAAGTTTTCTAAACGTATTTATTATTTAGGATCAGCGTTTCCTAAACTATGATTTCCCTTAGGAGACTCTGCAAAGATGTGAGAATACAGGGTAGTCTCCATGGGTGCAGTTGGGGTACATTTTTGTTTGTTATCTTTTTCTTTTTTTTATAATTTATTTCTTTATTGAATCACTGTGGGAAAAGTTACAGAGCTTTCGGGTTTAGGTCTCAGTCATGTAAGTATCAAACACATTTCCCTTTACCAATACTTATTTTTAACCGGGAACCCCAATAGAACCCCACCTCCCACCCCTCCCAATTCCTGTGAGGCAGATGAGTTCTAGTTAATACTCTATCTACTTTGACTAGATACATTGTTTCGATAGAAGATGCACAATTATTGTTTAGAGTTTACGCCCCCCCCCCCCCCCCCCAATCAGACATGCTGAAACAGCGTTGTGAAATGATTTGCTTTCTACAGCTGGGTTTAAGAATAAAATGATGGTTTTGGATTTCTGCTATTTTACTTATTAACCCTGGAAGAATTTCTATTAAAAGTTAGATAGTTAAGCGATTGGTTTCTGTGCTCTGGAGTCGTGGCCGTGCCGTGCCGGAGAGCTGCTCGTGGGGGGCAGCTGGCGACCTCGGTCGGGCGTGAAGGACGGCCCATTACGCCCCCCTTCCCATGAGGTCCCTGCCGCCCCCACCCCCGGCTCAAACCTGCTGTCTACAAGGCTCCCGTGCGGCCGCCATCTTTCTTTCCCTGTTTATTATCTTAAAGAAGGTAAAATTATCTTTCTTTCCTAAAAGGGGGAAAAGGCCAAATAAGTTTGGGAACACCTGTGCTAGATTCTTATAAAAAAGAATGGTTAAAAGAGGAGATTGGATGGTAGTGGATAGTAATTAGAATTTTGTTTATAGACTTTGTGTATTATCTATGTTTGTACATGTTTGCAACTGTGTTTTTGAAATGTGTAGTATTGTACACCAATACTACCTCAGAATTTAACAAAAATTCTGTCTCTATGATAAGAACTACACTTAATATGAACAGTGGTGACTGTCTATAGAGCTGGAAAAATAAGGACGTATGGTACTGTAACAATCTAAACTCAAAACCAGACATAGGAGTATAATATCAAGTGCTTTTGTTTGATTTGAATGAATGCTATGACCAAAAATTTTTATTTGAAGACGTTAAAAATAACAAGAATATAAGACTATCAAAAAAAATGCTTACAAAATTTATCTCCCTACTCAGCCCACAAAGAGAAGCCAACTAGTCCCAAGAACTTCATTTAAAACCATGTATGTACATTTAAAAAGACAGTGAAACGGTTTCTCTAATTGCTATAATTTTTAAAGAAGTCGGTACATTTGGTAATTGCCTTAAATTGCTTAACTTAATTTGACAACATTAAGAATTTGTCACTT